ACGTGTTGCTCGCTTATATGCTGCCCATGCAGCAGCAACATTTTTTTGTGTTTTTCTTACATCAGCAGCTAAGCTGCCAGAGAACGCAAAGCCCCAGCTCCTGCTGCTGCTGCTGCTGCTGCTGCTGCTGCTGCTGCTGTTGCTGCTGCTGCTGCTGCTGCTGCTGCGGGATGGGCAGCAAGGGTGGAGGTTTGAATCTAAGACAGCTCTGCCGCAGTATTCAGCAGCAGCAGCAGCAGCAGCAGCAGCAGCAGAAGCAGACATATCTGCTGCTGCTGCTGCTGCTGCTCCTGCTGTATATCTTTTGTAACTATGAACAGCAGCAGCAGCAGCAGCAGCATCAGCAGCAGCAAATGCAGCAGCAGCAGCAGCAACATCATCTATACTTTCAAAGAAATGTATATAGTTTTGCTGCAGCAGCAACACAAAACCATCATAGTCTAGCTGCAGCTGCTGCAGCACAGCAGCAGGAGAGAAATAAAGACAAGGGCGAGTCTCCTTAGGATATAACTCTATAAAAGATAGCTGACGTGGTTGCTGCTGCTGCTGCTGCTGCTGCTGCTGCTGCTGCTCCCCTGCTGCTGCTGCTGCTGCTGCTGCTGCATGCGGAGGAGGAGGCAGCAGCGGAGAGCCGCAAGGAGAGAAATAACGAACAGAAATATCTGCTGCCCACAACCAATCACCTGCAGCAGCAGCAGCAGCAGCAGCAGCAGCAGCGGCAGAAGCAGCAGCAGCAGCAGCAGAAGCAGCAGCAGCAGCAACAGCAGCAGCAACAATAAAAACAACAGATGTAGAGCGGTTGGTGCTGCCTTGCTGCTCAGGCAGCAGCAACAGCAAGTGCAATCCGCAGCAGCAGCAGCAGCAGCAGCAGCTGCTGCTGCTGCTGCTGCTGCTCCTTGGGAGCCTTCTAGCAGCAACAGCAGCTACAGCAGCAGAAACCCAATAGCAGCAAACGCAACAAGAGCAGCAGCAGCAGCAGCAAAAGCAGCAGCAGCAGCAGCAGCAGAACCAGCAGCAGCAGCAGCAGCAGCAGCAAAGCCAGCAGCAGCAGCAGCAAAACCAGCAGCAGCAGGCTCACTTCCGCGTAGGATATAATGGTGGGGTTGTTGTTTTATCATAGGCGGCTCAGGGTCTGTTGCTGCTGCTGCTGCTGCTGCTGCTGCTGCAGCAGCAACAGCATGCGACCAATCCAATTGCTGCTGCAGCTGCTGCTCATGCTTCTGCTGGTGCTGCTGCTGCTGCTGCTGCTGCTGCGGTTGCTGCTGCTGCTGCTGCTGCTGCTGCTCAACTGCTGCCAGCAGATCATCAAGGTCATCGTCCCATAGACTATCATCTGCTGCTGCTGCTGCTGCTGCTGCTGCAGTTGCTGCTGTATTTGGTGCTGCAGTGCTGCAGCAGCTGCTGCTGTAGGCCGGGAGACCTGCAGCAACAGGAGCAGCACAAGCAGCAGCAGCAGCAGCAGCAGCAGCAGCAGCGGGGGCCTTACAACTAACTGGAGCCCATCGCATGCCCCCCCAAATACCCCGTGATGGTTCAGCATCATCTGCTGCTGCTGCTGTTGCTGCTGCTGCTGTTGCTGCTGCTGCTGCTGCTGCTGTTTCTGCTTCTGTTGCTGCTGCTCCTGCTGCTGTTGCTGTAGCTGGCCAGGGAGGGTAATAAGACTGCGATGTCAATGTCTGCTGCTGCTGCTGCTGCTGCTGCTGCTGTTGCTGCTGCTGCTGCTGCTGCTGCTGTTGCTGCTGCTGCTGCTGCTGCTGTTTGCTGCAGCAAGGGATTCTCTTTCCATAGAGAAATTTTCCTAGGCCATGAAAGGAGGCGAGCTGCATATCCTTACACCACATTGCTGCTGCTGCTGCTGCTGCTGCTGCTGCTGCTGTTGCTGCTGCTGCAGCAGACGTCTGTCTCCCCCCTCCACGTCGCGGAGGGGTTTGAGGCCCAGCAGCAGCAGCAGCAGCAGCTGCTGCTGCTGCTGCTGCTGCTGCAGGTGCTGCAGCAGGAGCAGCAGCAGCAAGCTGCAAGCTACCCAATGCCTGACGAAGGTCTCCTCTGCATGCAGCAGCAATTGCTGCTGTGTCTGCTGCTGCAACACGAGCAGCAGCAGCAGCACAACCACGCTGCAGCAGATCTGCTGCTGTTTGCTGCTGCACCCGCTGCAGCAGCCGTGAAACCTAAGCAGCAGCAACAGCAGCAGCAACAGCAGCAGCAGCAGCAGCATAAAAAAAAGATAGATAAAGACAGACAAAGAAAACAGATAAAATAAACAGAGACAATAAATAAAGGAGACAAAAGAAGAGACAGAAAAAGAAACAAAAGAAAAAGAAGAGACAAAAGGAGACAGAAAAAGAAAAAAAAAAGGAAAAAGAAAAAGAAAAAGAAAAAAAGGAAAAAGATAAAGAAAAGGAAAAGGAGGCAGCAGAAGAACAACAACAGCTACTACAAAAAAAAAAAGAAAAAAGAAAAAGAAAAAAAAGAAAAACAACAACAACAACAAAAAGAAGAAAAAGAAA